TGCGCCATAATTTTGGGGCTATAACTCCTGTCTAAGGGGAATTTCGAGGGTCCCGGTCCAGGTACACCAACTCAACGGATCACGTGTCTAAAATTGCAAGCGAAACATGTCAAGATACATACGTACCTTGCCGTCCCATTATTAGGGGGAGTGTTCCCTCCAACGGTAATGAATCCTCACTAATAGGGCACACCTTTCTATGAATCAACCAGGCGTTTACTACTCCGAGGTAAACAGTATAACTACAGTATAACCCATGTTTTAATTGGATTTTTTTGGGTTCGCCATGTTGGGGCTATAAAACCGGGAATTATTGCGCCCGAGTTTTGGGGCTGTAGCCCATGTAGGGAAGTGTTCAACGTGGGATGAGTTCACACGGCCCCCGCCCGAGGATCTTGATCTTCGGCTCCCGCTGGGAGCAGTCGGGGCCTGAACTTCGAAAGCGAGAAGAAACAGTCAGGCGTAACTGGACGAACGAACGGCTCCCTTTTAAGACTAGGTCCCCCAACGGGGTGTTTCCTTAAAGGGAATTCAATTTCCTCCTTCCCTACTGTGGAGGGACGAAATCCTGCACCATCTAAGCAACCCTGGCATGACGATTCCTCTACCTGGACTCTCCGTGACCCTTTAAAAATGGGTCCATGACCCCATTATTTATTTGGGGTAATGACCCCATTTTTAAAGGGTCATGGAGACTCCAGGTAGGTCCCCCAGTAGTGCCCTTTCACCGTTTCTTTTTTTAGGGGGGAGGGTTCCCCTACTAAAATAGACGTCCTGAAAAACAAGTTGGTAGCCTTATTCTAACCTCTCTACTGAAGGACCTAGAAGAGGCCGTGACTTGCCCAAAACTCATTGGGGACCACCCTCAAAGGACTCACCTCGGGCCCTTTCCGTCGGGTTGAACGAATTGGTCCGCCGCGACCAGTTCCTAGTTGCAGGATCGTTTGGCCAGGGGGCATAACCTGTGGCGATCCCATTTTGGGGTGGATGAACATCCCATTTAACACCTATTTTGATGTTCACCAGGGGTACAGGGCTTTGACCCAGAGCCATGTGGCAACCCTGCCTTAAACTCTGCTTTTCGAGGAAATGCAGCAGCTTTTCCTGTTTGCCACACCCTCAAGGACGTGTGAGGAGCGCCGAACATGTCCTAGTTTTTGCAGCAAGGGAATATGTGGTTGGTCAGCAGGCGTGCAATCCAATCATTATGCTCGGACATGACATCTGGATTCGGTTCAGAGAACATCAGCCCCTCATTTGGGGCTTCCCTGGTTTTTGCTTAGGTTTTTCGAACCCAATGCTGATCTCCAAAAGGCTCTGTCTTTGCTTGAGTGTACCCGGCGTTTGTGGCTTTAAAGCCAATCCACACGGAAAACCCGTGCCCCGAGTTTGGGGGGGGGGGAGCCCTAACAACAGACAAAGGACACACCCAAAAGAAGCCCTTCTGACACATCGAGCCAACGATGGCCTGCGCCTACACAGGTCCATCCCCGCAGGTCTGCGCAACATAATTTGTGGCTTTCCATGGAAAAGTCATTCGAAGAGTACGGCAAACCGACTCACCTACGCAGTTTATGGCGATCCGCGTCCAAACTCCCAAGTCCTGTCCCAAAAAGCAGTGGTTGGGGTTGTCTCGGTTAGTGTTGGGAAATCCCCACTTAACAGGGCTCCTTAAAATATACATTTTGCAACCATTTGAAACATGTTGCTTTTTCAACACCAAAACAAAGGGAAACCACCATTTACAAGTTGCAATGTTCAGGTGTTTTTCATGTAAGGATTCCTTGCTTCACTGCTCCGCTTTCAACATCAACCAAGTTGTTGGGGGGGATGTGTTTGGCGGGGGGAACTCAAGTTCGCCCCTCCCCAGCGGCATGGCCGGCCAAGAAATCCAGAAGACGAGGCCGCGCATGCGGAGATTGCAACGTCGCAGCCTGCAGCTTTGCTCTCCAGTGCCCTTCCTCTTCGTGGCTCTGGCTAAAGTTTGAAGCGAGGCGTCCGACCTATTCTTACCTCTTAAAAACACAACTTTTCAACTTGTTGGGTAACATGGGCTATATGTCTGTAAAAGCTTAACTTTTTCGGGGCTTGGAGTTTTAAGGGGTAAGTATTTCCTTGGTGGCTCCCAGCCATCCCGTTAGCCTTTTAGCCCTTTAGTGTTTAGTGGGCTTTTCCATTTAGCCTACTAAAACTTAAACTTTTAGTGGGGGATTCGAGGCAGCTCAGCTTCAAGAACCCGGTTTGGGTTCCCCCTCAAGTGAGGTGATTGTTTTTGGTGTGTCCCTTTTGAGGCAACCCCCCTTTTGGTTGCCTTTAAAGGGAAGCCAACGGAAAACCAAGCCTGCTTGGGATGCTCGAGATTATCCCTGTATAGACGAGCTATGTATAGGGCAAGCAGCCAGTTAGGGCTCCATCAAAAAATATCACCTACTGGTGTCTTCCTTTTAAAGTCCCAAATTTCGCTTCAACTTGTGCTCCTCCTCAGGTGAGTTCGTCTCTTTCGTCTTTTGGAGTTGGTACCGACTTCTTTGGGGCTGTATTGAAAGAAGAAACCATCGGACACCTCGTTTTTTACGGAGATTCCCCATCGAGACGATTCGCGAAGTGGGTGCTACTCAACATGTGCTTCTTCGCCCCTTCGCGGTGGATGATTCCTGGCAGGATCTTCCTGGCGTTCTTTAAAAACCGACCCTATAGAGGATGCCGGCACAACAAGATGGGGCACCCCCCCTCCCGCAGTGCGTCCCACGCTCCTGGGCGCTGATCTTTTGCCACCAGCGAGGGCTGTGTTTGTCGCAAGCGCGAAATCAACCAGGGAGAACATCGCTTTGAATGAAGCAACACGCATTCAGTGTAATTTCACTGTCTGGTGTATGGAAATGTGTCATGATACGTCACCTCCGCAAGTTCTTGTTGGTATGTATGTGAATGTTGGATGTAGCTGTCGTGAATTGTGCGAACGTGCATATGTGTATGTATATATATATATACATATGCACATATAGTATACAATTACATTTATTTGTGCATGTTGTTTTCCCCGGCATTTCTTAGAGCGACCAAGGCATTTTTTGAAGTGCATTTTTGGCTGATGTCTGACTCGCCTGAAGCCCGAGATACCCTCATATTCATAAACGTGGACAATTCATCTTTGATAATGTATCTGATAATGTTTTGAGTTCTCAGCGCAGCTGATGCACGAATTTGGAGCCTTCATTTTGTACTTGAAGGGGCAGGGTACTGAGTAAGTGGGTAGTAACTATGGAACGGAGACCACGACTTCTGTGGGTTCTTTCACCATGGTTACGGTCACATACCTGACGTACCAAAGCAATCGCCCCTTTAAGTATAGTCCAGGTTCTGCCTTTGTGACGGTCCGGGGGCGTCTTAATTTGTGACTTTACCAGGGCTCCTTAAAGGATACATTTTGTAACCATTTGAAACATGGCTTTTTCCACCAAAACAAAGGGAAACCACCATTTACAACAATGTTCAGGTGTATAATGTAAGGATCCCTGTTTACTTATCAATTATTAGGTGCATTTGCGGTGGGGTCAAGCCAATGGGGAACTGAACAAGACACCTGATCCAAAGCAAAAAGATGCGGAGCCAAGATGCCAACGGTTGAGCTTTTTAGGAAGTTCAAGATCTATATTTCTTATGTCAGGTGGTAGTTTTTTTTTGATCAGTAGTGCCCTTTTACCCTTTTTGGGGGAGGGTTGCCCTACAAAAATAGACTACAAAAACAGGGTACCCTTATTCAAACCTTTCTACTGGAGGACCTAGTAGTGGGTTTCCCATGTTATCCTGTCCTAGAGAATATAGATTAGGATCCTGTCGAATGGGAGCAACCTGGTCAATCAGTCATGAAGGGGCCTTCTTAATTTCGTGCTTTGGTCTGTCAAATGACGGGCCCATGACAATCTCAACCCCAAAAACAGGCTAAACGGTAAGACCAGGGCAATATTTTGGGACATCCAGCATACAATCAATGCTTGAAATTTGGCACAATTTTGGCTGTCCACTTTGAGACAATCCCTGGTGTCTTCATGCAGGTTCTTTCAGAGTTTTACAGGCACACCTTTGTGTTTGTCACACCAGTTTCAGAGGCGTCTCCTATACAACGACCGTTTTGCTTTGCGCGCTATCCCAAGACCTTGGATCTTTTGTGCCCAAAATGACCTCATTACTAAAAGGGGCATTGTGTCTAGTAAGTGGTTAGGCCTGAAGAAAAGCCATGGTGAAATAAGTCTCCGTTCCGGATATTTCACCAGGCTTATTAACCACCTAGGTACAATGCCCCTTTAAGCACTCACAGGTTGAGGTTTTCTGCGTGAGGTGATGGGGGAGCTTCCTCCTGGCAAGCTCCGCGCGCGGGCACTCAAGGAGCTGCTGAGGCGGGCGAGTTGGTGGGGGGAGTTGGATCAAACACCAACGGTAGACCCATACTGTGGATGGACGAAATCCTGCACCACCTAAGAAACCCTGAAATGATGACTCACCTGTAAATACCAACTAACAATGGTTTCTCATGGTTTCAAAGTGGTGCATCCACAGTATGTGTCCCACTTTCTGAGTTCCTGGACTTTAAATTGTTTGGGGTTTGGTTCCCATTCTGGTGGCAACCAACAGAAATGGGTACTTTTCTTGGCCAACCCACTCAGGAAGTGCATTCCTTCATCAACGGGAAGACAGCGGAGGTGGTCTTTGGGGTTTTGCGAACACTGGTTGCAAACGTGCGGTTTGAATTCCGGGTCTTTCAAGCGAAATTTGTGGACGAGAAAGGCGAGCAGAGCCCTTGGCGCATCCCATGCCCAGCAAGGGACTTCGGCACGGAATCATCCGCCACCCTGAATTTACAGAAAACAAGCAGACATTCGACTGGGCCTTGGCAGGGATGGCAAAAATCAAGAAGACGCGAGAGTGGGGCGACCTGCCCATCAAGCGCCACCCCTCGTCTTAGTACAGCCCAATGCTCAGACACTGCTGGTGTTCTTGCCCTAGTCAGGGTCGTGTTTACTGACTAGCTATTTGCAGTGTGTAGGCCAAACGGATTGTGCCCAGCCAAGTGATGTTGTTGGCAACGAATGCAGAATGCGCAAAACCCCATCAAACGTCGTGTTGGGTTGCTTTTCCTTGAAAACAAAGGGAAACCCACTGGTCTGGGTACTCCCCTATTTAGATACAAATCGATTTTGTTGTCCATTGTCAGTCTGGCAAGGACAATGTGAAACTGAACCCTCCCCCTTCTGGATGTGCGCCCTCGAAATCCGGGTTCCTTTAGAAGGGTAGCCCATGGCCGAAATTGCGGAGAGAGCCCAAGCAAGGATCAAGGGCGACATAAGTTCGGATTTGGGCTTCCTCCCCCCCAGGCCCCTGTGATATGATGCATCATTTTTTGATGGGCTCAGTGACTTGCCTTAGAACCCTCGACAGGTTTTTACTCGGGCACCAAGTGGTCAGGTAAGAATTGGTGGTTTGGGATTTGAATCCCTTCTTAATCCAAACCACCAATTAAGGGGAAGCTAGAAGCATGCAACATGCCTTGTTCAGCCTGTTGCCAGCAACGTGCTTGGTCAAATTTGTAGACAGCATCTCGAATATCGCAAGCTTGCACAAACTTCCAATTGCCCCTGCGGATAGGTGACTCTGGTTGGTCGGTGTTGGATGCCCATGAAATGTTCTTCGGACCTTCAGGCAGGTTCGAAACTGAGAGAATGAGCGAGTTTTTTACGTATCTTGACACATTTCGCTTGCAATTTTTGACATGTGATTTGTTGAGATGGTGAACCTGGACCCTCAAAATACCCTTGAACATGGGTTGTTGCCCCCAAACTATTGGTGTGAGGGTCCAGGCATAGAGTTTTCTCCAAGGCCGCATGGGAAGAAAAGTTCGAACCATAGCGACCTCATTGTTGCCATTGGCCAGCTGTGGCCTCTCCATGGCTGCTGGCTCATCAGATGTGGGTGCGTTGTTTCATTTAGGAATCGGACCCCCAAAGTAAATTGTGTTTTCCTCTCGGTGTCCCCTTTAAACCCCAAAAACGAGTTAGCCTGAGACCTCGGTTTTGCCCCCAACACAAACTGACATAAGTTTCAGAATATCATGCTACTGCCTGAGTGCGAGCCAAAATCATGGGCGAATCCAATTACTCCCGTGCTTTCAAGTCACCACCACAGCAGGTAGTCAAGGTTTCGTATAGGTCTTATACCTGAATTTTCCCCTGGTTGGGTTTCTGTTTTTGAGGATATCCTTTTTTGTGGCTGTAAAGGGAAACCAAAGCGAAAACCACCGAATTACGGCGTCCGAAGCCTTAAAAGAAGACACCCCCATTGCAATTGTATTTGGAAGCACTTGGAATGAGTAATTACACAACAAGAACTGTATGCCCAATACTAGCACCATCGGGCAAGCATGATTCCCTGGAACTTTCCAAACGCAAAATAACCCTACCGGAACCCGCCCTAGCCCAAAACCGCCAAATACTCTGGATAGTTGCCACATAGCTGTTGCTGTTGGGAGGAAATTCATTATTTAACTCTCTCTGGGGAAGAGTTAGGTTTGTGGTTCCTTCTGCGGGGAAGCCTGTTCTTGGCCGGTCTTTCAACATGGGAGTTGAAGCCACCAAATGGCTGTTCCCCTTAGAAAACATCCCAACGAGGGTACCAACTCCAACAGAAGGCACGACCACACTTTGAATTGTAGATTGAGTTGATCCTTTGTTGTTGGAACTGGATAATTGGTTTGCTGAGCAGATGAGTACCCCGCCCCTTTGCCCCAGGCGAGCAGCGTTTTGGTTGAACAACCAGGCTGTTCATCACAAATGTATCTGCGGCTTTATTGGGAGTCGTCCAAGTCGCCCCATTTTTCCTGTTTGAACGTCACCCAGCCAAACGCTACCCTTGGAGGAGACTTATGGGTGTGTGTTTTTCGTTTTGGGAATCGGACCGCACAAAATGCTTGGCTTCCCTTTGGTTTCCCTTTCCCCACCAAAACACGATTGGTTTCCTCCATGTCCCCACCGTTGGAACCTCAAGTGGCGATCGTTTCAATGGACACCACCCGCAAATTGAGCAACCTAAGTCCAGAGACCCCTGAAGGGTGCCCTTCGCCTCAAACAAAAAAAGAGAAACGACCTCTGCCATTCTCAGAAACCCTGGAATGGTTGGATTCCCCAAGGAAAATACCAACAAACGTTGTGGTTTCATTTCCATGGTTTCATTAACCGTGGTGCCGTCGGTCTGGGTTTCTCCCGCGTCTCCATGCGCAGAATGAGGAACCCTGTAACCCTAGGGTTCAAGCCCGATGAGTTAAAAGAAAGGCCTTGGGACCCAATTTGGAGGATGACAATCCTGGGTAAACGTCATGGTGATTATATATGTTTGTCGGCCCCATGGTTTTAATGTTAATCCTTTTGTAAACAATGGTGGTTCTATTTTCGCGAAAAAGAAAAAAAGTATTTTAATGGTGGTTAGATGTTCGTCCCCGTTGTTGTAATGTTAATCCTTCTGTAAACATTGGTGGTGAAATATATTTTCGCCCCCATTCATGGTGGTAGCTGAATCGCAGGGTGGTACTGAAGGGGGGAACCTGCCGACGCGAATTTTCTTGCCAGGTATCAGGACCTGGTGCATCTGCGGGGTCCTTTCCGTGACGGGATCTACCCCTACGAGCACTCCTGGTCCCTGGTAGAGGAGCAAAAACTCGCCCAACAGAGGGGATGAATTCGCACACAAAAACTTGCAGGTGTTCAACACCAAAAAGGGGTATATATCCTCACGCAAAGCCGCAATCATTTGGCTGTGGCTCGAAACAATGTACCAACATGACACCTTGGTAAATGGAACCCAAGGCTAAGACCTGCGTATGCCTAGCTCTTCACACCCATTTATACTGGTTCACCAAGGGGTCAATCTGATTTTACCTTTTTCTTACAACCCATGGCAACTGAATCGTTGCGACGAGCTTACAGAGGGCCTTCCTAAGGGAGCTCAACGTTTTCGACCGGCAAGTTATTGGTGCCATCTGCTTTCCGGATGACAATTTCATTCACTACCGCATGGTTGTTTTGTGGATTTTTGGTCATAGGAGGGCCCTGCTACTCCAAATGTCAATCGTCTAGTTGTTGTCTTGTTTTTGTCCTCCCGAAGACTACGCTTAAAAAGGGGGGGACCAACAACTGCAAGCTGTTATATCCGAAAGATTTGGATGAGTCAGACGCAACCCGGCGTTCACGAATCTGTCAGGCGTCGAAGCAGTTGGTAATCGGGGTCTCTTTTGGAATCAGGTTGCCTTTGGACGACTAAACATGGATAAGAACGGAACATTGTTTCACTTCTTCTAGGTCCCCCAGTAGTGCCCTTTTACCCTTTGGGGGAGGGTTCCCCTACTAAGATAGACTACAGACAAAAGGGTACCCTTATTCAAACCTCTCTACTGGAGGACCTAGGCTTGCTTCCATTCGAAGTCAAACATACTGAGGGGTGGTTCCACATGAGCAACCCAACATAAGCTGCCCCCATCTTTTTTGTTCCCTGTAACAATCCCGGTGGTTTCAAACATCGCCATCACTGCCATTGTCATCATTGAGGCATGCAGTATGGTCGTGCCCCACCCCAAATCCAATTCTCACCACTCATCCGGGAATGAGGGGAACGGGATCGCCAAAGATAACGTTACGCACACATGTATCATGGAATCCGGGCTTGGGGCAAATGGGAAACCCTTGATGTACTCTACTTGTCCGGGGCTCTGGGGATGGAACCCTTGATACCAGGGTTCTACCTCGCACGGTTCTCGCACCTCGCCCTTCGCCTACATCAAAGCCATAAGTAATCTGCAGGTTTTGGCACCCTCTAAACGACTCTAAACCCCTTTTTGCTCGGTGGGTTCGGGGGTTCAGGGCACTGGCCCCCCCTTTCACGAGTGACCGAGTGATGGAGTGATGCTCCTCAGGAGCGCTTCGGCTCCGCGGAGTATTTGTTGCTCTTGGACCACCGGTCCTTTGTGAACGTGCCCAAGGCGCCGGGGGGAAGCCAAACCCAAACCGAGCGCCAGGAAGGAGCGAAGGAGGTTCCAGCGAGCCGCCAAAAATGGGAGTGAGCAAGTCATTGGTGCATTAATGCCAAGGGATGTTAGGACTGAAAAACTTGTATTTGCCAACTAATGGGTTTTCTGTATTAAACCGCTAGAAGTTAGTCACTTTTAGCAGGGGAGCAGAAAGCAACCAAGAATTAATTGGGGACCCTACAGTGTCCAGGCCAATTGGTTTCCTGAAACGCGGCTGCAAAAACGGCAAAAGGTGCTGGCTTGAACTGAGAGTGTTTTTTGGGGGAGTACTCGGTGGTCACCTAGTACCTTCGGTGGTTTTAAAGGGGAGTGAGAAGGAGACCCACCCATGGGGTCCAAGCTTCAAAGAGACACACCACATGGCTTCAGCCAAGTGAGGCCCCGGAAGACCGTAATCATTGACACCGGAAGAGGATTACGCATTCCTGCACCCTCCAAATTCCAGCTTCAAAATCGGTTCTAGCCCCGGGCCCACAATTATGATTGGTGGGTCCCCTTTTTCGATGGGTAGGGTTCAGGTTGTTCTTTGTTCCACACCTCCTGTTGAACTCCCGAAAGGTCCTGTTTCCTAGTGGAACCGCAGATTTCATGGACTCGTTCGAAACGGGAATCAGGCATGTTGCCAACTGAATCGAGGGAGTCGAAAGGGAAACCGAAGGAGCCACCATTTTCCGGGGTCCCCTCATCTTGCCGGCGCTCAGTGAATGGTTTGAGGAAGCTACAGGGAATGGTGCGGTTTTGGGGTCATTCCACCCAATTCCCTGCCGCAAGTTTCTTTTCGACGCCCACCTCTTGGATCCTTGATTTCCGGAAAGACACCATGGATTCGCTTCCTTTGTGCTTTTTAGGGAAAGCACCCCCGTTTGGCGCTTGGCGGGAATCTGACATGGGTGTGTCTTTATGGGGACTCCCACGACTGCGAACTCTGGTTGGTGTCCTTCTGGTTTCCTCTAGACCACCATCCAAAAGGGGCTCCCCACTGCGGGTGGACCAAATCCTGCACCACTTGGGATAGATGAAGCCCTATAAATCATGGGACAAGCCACCGAACTGGTGCAGGGTTTGGTCCATCCGCGGTACTTTGAGACAGACCCAACGTGTCCTTTTTGGCGGTTTTGGTGGACAAGATCGAGGGCGATGCCTGGTTGAAACCTGGTGGTTCAATCACCTAGGGAAATCCGAATCTATTTGCCCCTAAAAGGACACCTACTGTGGATGTTTTGGCGCTTTGCTCTTAGTGCATAGATCACAGGTGGATCTAGCATTGCACGGCACCGGACATGATCGTGTCACCGAGCACCGGACACCTACTGTGGATGGTTGCGAAATCCTCCACTTTGAAGCCATGGTTGAAGCCTTTGTTCGTTTTGTACAGGGGAATCGTTCATCATTCCTTTGGGTTCCGTAGGCGGGTTGCAAAATTATCATTTCGCAACCATCCACAGTATGTGTCCTTTTAGGGGCAAATAGATGGATTTCCCTGGTGATTAAACCACCAGGTTTCAACCAGGGCCATCTATTTTTCCACCAAAACAACCAAAAAGGACACGTTGGGTCTGTCTCAAAATACCGTGGACCAGCATGTCCGCCGCCTTCGGCATGCAGCCGGGCGCTCTTTTTTTTTCGGCCGACGAGTCTGCGAGGTCCTGCAGCTCTTGGAGCCTCTGCCTTCCGAACGGGTCTTGCAGGCCTCGGAGTCGGGCTGCGCGCGCGACATGCGAGAGGTGGGCGAGAGGTGCTGGCTGAGCGTTTCCAGGAAGGGGAATCGCCAGCTCCCAAGTCGGCTGGAGTTTGGTGTTGCTCTATGTTTTTTGGATTTTTGGAAGGGCAAATGGGCCGTGACTGGAAGATAGGAGCTGTCTGGCAGGCTGGTACCACTGGCGAGCAGGGATGGATCGCAGAGCTTCTGAATGACCCGTTTTACCACACTAAACCTTGAAAACAAGCAACATTGCTGCGGTGTCCCAGCAACAGCCAGCAACACATGTGGCTTTGAAGGCTTGCAAGATTGGTTCAAACATCCCACCAAACATCGTGGTGTGGGAATGCTTTTGTGGGGAATCTGTCCTGCCATATTGAGGTCTTGGCATATTCTTTCAGGTCCCGATTTGGAAAAGAGTTTGGTGGCCCCGGCTCGTGTGCATGGCGCTTGCGCTGGGCGATGTTTGGAGCGTACCAAAGTAGCTGCTTCAGTGAGCACTTCGAGTGCCAAACAATGTACCATCGGTGCGCTAGATGGAAGATGATGGAAGTGGTTCCCCTCGCTTTTTGCCAAGCAAGCACTTGCTATATTGTTCGTTGGCACAGAGACAGAGAGACAGACAGATAGACAAGCAGACAGACAGACAAAGAGGCAGACATCCGGACCGAGACAGACAGACAGACAGACAGACAGGCAGGCAAACAGAAAGATAGACAGAGAGAGAGATGGCAACTAGTGCCCTGCCGGTCTTGGCAGATATACATCATTTGCTTATCCGTGCCAAGAGCCAAGCGAGGTTACCCCATGCCAATGTGTTTTTTTTCGCCCCACTCAGGTTTCAATATCAGTGGGAGCCCTCCAAGCAGCTGCATGTTTTCAAGTGGTCCGAAGGGGGGTCCTAGCTTGGACGGCCTATGGTTTGTCCATTGGCTGATGGAGGGGCCAACGTCCGTGGCCCCAAAGGACCCTCGTTTGTTTTTATCTTTTTTTTTTTCAGAAAAGCAACGTTGTATTTCCCTCGAAACTTTAGTGTCAGATCCCGAGTTTTGACACAGTACACTAAGGGTCCAACTACCTTCTGATGTATTTTGGGCCATGTAGTTTGACCAAGTACATCAGCGAAGGGACGCTTTGGGGGCCCCGTCTTTTCAGCAATCCTTCTTCTCAAAAGCCAGCTGCTTCCTACCTGGAGTCTCCATGACCCGAATCAAAAAACAGGCCCATGACCCCCTTATTTAGTGGATTGACCAACCATTTTTTAAGGGTCATGGAGACTCTAGGTAGATGTTTTTTCTTTTAGACCAATCATTCCATGCATAGAGTGGCACAGTTGCAGTGAACATTGAGCGAACCAACACTCTCAATCCCAATTTCTATGGTAAATTACAGTAACATGCGGGATTGTCTTATGCCGTTAGTTGCAATATTCAGGGCATTCACCGTAAAAGGGTCACTATTGGCCAGGGCTGCTTGCTGGAAGAGTTGCTCTTCGCAGATCAAGGAGACACCGGGCGCAGGCGGGGCAAAGTGGTCGATCGATTGATGGCATGTCGCAATCGATATGATGAAGTCGCTGGGCCCTGAAATTTGTTGGATGTGGGACCCTTTTTGCTTTAACACGTTTGCTGGGGTTTGCTGAGTTGGCCCCCAATGACCAATTTTCTCCCAAATGACCCAAGAATCAGAAAGGTGCAAAGGCAGAGAAATGGATTCGGTCCTTTGGGGGGTCCAGGTGGTTCTTCCTGAGTTCTTAGACTTTAGTCACTTATTACCATTTTGATTAGTGGTAAACGAACAGTTTGGACAGTTTTTGGCCCATCCACTCGGCAAGTGAGACGTGTTTGCTGGGTTGTTCAGAACCAACCCTTGAGCCCTGCGCCGGATGGTAGCGGCTTCCTTGGTGTTAGTGATTCCACTTCAGATTCCGGATTCGAGTTAGGGATTTCGGCCCCATTTGAACAAGTCTGCTTTGGGAAAGACTCATGTTCCCCGCAAATAAGCACTTTCGGTGTCGCACGTCGAGAATGCTTGGAACACTTTCCAGGTCAGTCTATGCAAATGTGGGTCGCCGGGTTTGCGGTTTCGCCCGTGATGAAAGTTTCTTTTGGAGGGCTCCATATGTTTCTCAGTTGTCCAAAACCGACATTTTAACCTTCAGTTCTTTCCCATTTTGGTGCATGTTTAGTCAAGGTCTCACCCCTTTATTTGCAGATCTTCATATTCCACCCAGATCGGTGGCCCCCGGCTTTGTGGATGAGAACTGGTTGGCTTGCTGGAAGCAGTACTAGTTCAACACTAGTGGGAATTTAATGAGTGCTCGAATTCAGTCCTGCCTTGATTCAAGATCGAGGCAGGTCGATAAATATTGTTTTGTTTTGGCACACCTTCCCTTTGACCGCTTGAGTTTGTAGCTCGGCTGTGCAAGCTAGTGTGCTTGGGAAGCAAGCCCACACGAACCCATTGGTTGATTTCGGAATGGCATGTGTGATTGTTTCAACATAGTTTCCAGATACTTGTGTACAGAGGCCGGCGGTAGCCACTGTGGTTGTTTGGGATTGTTTGGGATCAAACTTTACTTGTGCTGGGACCCGTACTTGATCTTGGTGGCTCCCTGCCATCCCCTTTGCCTTTAGCTTTTAGTTTTTAGTGGTTGGCCTTCCGAATTTAACCCGCTAACAGTTAGTGACTTTTAGCGGGGGATCTGAAAACGAACAGCCCAGTGATGAAAGCTGTTGCGAGTTTCATTTCGTGAGGCTTGCACTGGAGCCGAGGTCCAAACCCATTCAGGGCCCGTGTTTGTGGAAAGAAAAAGAAACAGGGCTCTAGAGTTTGAATAGGGAGCCATCTGCAAAGTGGTTCATATCAAATTCCACCGATTTCGGATGATCAACTGCAAAATGGTTTATCATTTTCCACCGAGTTCGGATGTCCATCGAAGAGTCCTAAACTGAGACTCGCACCAAAGTGAGTTTTGTATTTTTGCCCCTTAGCTAAGTACCTGATCTGATCTCCATGACCTGAATCAAAAACAGGCCCATGACCCCCTTATTTCGGGGAATGACCAACCTTTTTGTAAGGGTCATGGAGACTCCAGGTAGTTTTTTTTTGTTTTTCCCCGCATGGTGTGGTTGCTGGTTCCAAAGTAGTCTTTTGAGTAGGGGGTATGTCAAGCTGCGGAAAGTTGTTGGCACTGCGCGCAATCCGCCAAAGGAACCCAACCGGGCGTTAGATCTGCAATCCGGCAGATCTTCGACCGGGCGTCGCATATTAACAGTCGTCCTTTGCGTGTTGTTTTTTGCCTTTGCCGGATTTCTGGCTGAGTGGATGGCCCCAAAAAAAGGAAATCCGAACTTTAGAAATTTGCCACTAAAATGGTGCAGACCCCAAAAAGTGACTAAAGTTCATGAACTCAGGAAGTGAGTTGCAGAAAGCACCCGAACAATCTGCGGATTTGATTGACACTGGGACGGCACTACATCCAAATAGGGGCTAAATCCATACATGTTTTTCTCCCAAGAACGTTGGTTTAATAGTGCCTCGCAACCACACTCAAGGTGTTTAGACAGTTTTGTATCAAGATAGGCTAATCCCTGTATGGGTGGTGTCCTTCGGTTTCCTTTAGATCCCATCCCAAAATGATATCATCCCAAAAAGGAAACATACCCGTATTCAAGACCCTACTTAGACGTTTGTCCAAGTTGGTAAGTGATTAGTTCATCGGGGTATGGCTTCCGAACAACAGGGTTAACCCCACCTAGAGCAACTGACAAGTGGGGAACCAAAAGGTTACCAACGAAGTTCCTAATGCCGAATCGAACACCCAAGTATCTTGAATTCAGGTCTGGTTCCTTTGAGAGATATCTGTTTTGGATCGGTTCACATGGAAACCAACGGAAACCACCCATACTGTGGATAGACGAAATCCTGCACCACTTTGAAACTATGGTTGAAACTATAGTTCGTCGGTATTTACAGGGGAATCGAATCATTCCAGGGTTTCTTAGGTGTTGCGGAAAGGATTTTGTCCATCCACAGCATGTCGGAGTTTCCACTTGTTTCTACCTAAAGTCTCCATGACCCTTAAAAAATGGTTCCATGACCCCATTATTTAGGGTAATGACCAACCATTTTTAAAGGTCATCCAGCAGGATCCGCCCCTTTGAGGAAGTACCTCTGGCGCCGGCGCTCGCCCTACTTCCCCCACGGTATGGGCTTCATTATCTCCAAGGCGCCGGGCAAAGTTGCCAACTAAGTCCCCCAGCTAGGTGCCCTTCTACCGTTTCTTTTTTTGGGGGAAGTTGGCCCATTCGAAGAGTGTCTCTTGGGGGGTGATGTTTTACGAGGTCCCCCAGTAGTGCCTTTTTACTGTTCCTGTTTTGGTTTAATCATCTACGCGGGCCATCTATTTCCCCTAAAAGGACACCAATGGTTCTGTTGCCCTTTTTTGGTTGGGAGGGTCCAACCCTACTAAAATAGACAAAACTGGAAAAAGTGCGTGCCCTTGTTCCCTGAAAGGAAACCATAAGATAGATGGTTTATAGGGAACATTGCATTTCTCATTGCATTTCTCATTCCCTGCTGGGAGTTGGTACCTGCAACGACTGTGGTTTCTGTAACGTTGACCCCGGATTAATCAACCAGGCAGGGTTGATGAAGAGGAGGGTGTTGGAGGTATGGAGGTTCTACACCACTTGTACAAGAGGTATATACAGTCTTCCAACCTGGGGTTCTAAGCCTCCATACCTCGGAACCACATACCTGCAAATGGTGCTGAAAAGTGTGTGTTGAACAACCGGACACGCTCGTCCCCTTGGCGGGTCTCTTGGTCATGGACAGGTGGCTTATTGCTTGCCTTCAGGCCCCTTGCGATCTGTGCATTTCGGATTCGAAGGGTTGCCTGTTGAGTGGGCACGCAATAGCAGCTTCAATTTGGCGGTCCGGCGTTGACTTTCCAGGGGTATCTGGCAGAGCTGATACTTCGACTGTGGGCGTATCCAAGCCACCAGCTATTTTCCTCTCTTTTTCTTTTTTCTGAACTTAGTAGGTCACCAGCGATTTTCCTCTTTCTTCTTTTTTACGAACCGTGGTTCCCTTGTGTTGTTTTTTCTTCTTTTTTTCTTTCTGAACCGTAATTTTCTTGGTTACTCATACAGGTCCATGGCCTGGCGATGTCACCTTCGGAGTCGAAGGCTATAGCTTTCCGCCGAGACTTCTAGTCGTGTCAGTCCTGTCTGGCGAGGCGTGAGGCTCCCAGAAGTTGTACCTGGACCCCGAAGCCAGACATGGCTGTGGGTCAAAATTAAAAACAACCAGGAATTGGACCGCAGATTTTCCTGAAGGACCCATTGATACACAAATTTGTGCTCAACCCCCATTTGATACGCTTTTCATGGTCCTCGAGCAGAAACTTGCTCTTCGAGCAGTTTGCTCCAATTCGAGCATTTTTTGGAATTCGAGCGCTTTCTCGCAGCTGCTGCTGCTCAAAACGGATGAGGCAGAAGATCTTTGGCCAAGTGAGTCAATATGTGCGCCAGCCAAAGGGCTTGATGGATTATTTACCATTGGGACATGTGGTAAGGGAGGGTGGTGTGTCCTAGGTGTATGTTTCTCTGTGGGTGGTGTGGCACGCCCTCGCCGTAGAGGTACTGCTCGATCAGCCTGCCGCAAGTGGCAAGTCTTGAGTGGGCACGGCACGTTTAAGGGGCATCGGGGTCGATATACGGTTTCGACAGTGAGTGCACAAGGCTGATGTCGGGTTGCATTGAGCCATGAACAAAGTGAAGCAACACCGCAGGCCCGTGGCTCAAAGCCAGGCTTGCTTTGTAGCAATGTTGCTGGCTCAAAATAGGAACGTGGAAATCACTTGCCCTGTTCTCAGAGAATGGGTCCAGCTTGAAGCTGCAGTGGCCCGGGCGGCAGGCAGCAACAAGGTTGCCATCTGCCCGGGATCAAAGCTGACACGCCAAACCTGCATCGACAATTCTGAGCTGTTGATTCCCCTGATCAATGAAGTTGGAAATTCGTCGGCATTTCTCAAGTTGCATCGCGCTCTTTCAACATTGGGTTCACTTTCAACCATGCATACATCTAAGGATTCCGGCCTGGGGTTAACGTCGTCAATGATTTGGTGGCGCGGTTCCTGAACTTTTGCCGGCCTCGTGGAAAGCCTTTGGCCTCAAGTGCCTTTGCTGGTCATTTCAGTTCAGTGGTTTTCCAGGGACCTTTCTCTCATTTTCCCGGAAATCAATCACGTCCTGGATCCAAGGTGCCGTGATGAAAACAGAGGCGTGGATCCTGAAGAGGCTGATAACAATACTCTCCCGTTCGGCCAAAAGACCGCACACCCCAAGGAGCAAGCACATGGCTAACTTACTTCGGTCAGTGGGTGTGGATGTGGCCGTTGGAGATTCTGAATGTGTCTTGCTTGAATCTCTATGCACACAGCAGCCCGGCCCCACACCTTCTCCCAACCATGCGGGTCCAAGCCAGCCTTCCCAGGCAATTCTCCAGATGAAGACGGTGATGAGGAGGACACTTCCGATGACGAGGCAGATCCTGATGCGACTTCAGAATACTGCGAATCAGAGACACCTACTGATGATCCTCTATGTGAGGCTGAGGCCAGATGTGTTCTTTTCAAGATGTCTTTGTTCATTTGCAAGTTCGGTCTTCCTGCAAAATGTTGCCTCTTGCAAGGAGCTACCCTGCGTGCCGGAGGTGATGCCTTTGAAGGACCAAGGTGAAGCTGCTAGGCTAAATATTGAAAAGCAGCAAATGGTTCTGGTTCTGGGGGTGGGGTTGGGATGTTAACTCATGACACCTTACGTCAGGCTGGCCACGACGTTGCCCTAGTGGCCTTGGAGAAGAAAGTTCCGCATTTTCGAGACTTGATGGCAGTGTAAGTTCAACATGTCCAGATCGAAAGAAAAAAAAGCTGCTACTCCCCAGACGATCAACCCTCAGGCCTGTCATCTCCGACCACCTCGCCGAGCTTGGTCGCAACCCCGCCTCCTCGGAGCACCTTGGATGCGCACGGCCTGCTTGAGAAAGCATGGGGTAAAACCTGAGACCCTGAGGCGTCCAGCAATCGCCTGATTCGCTACCGAAGGTGGGCAAGCATGTGACTATGAAGTGTGGTTGGATCTGCGAAACATGCAGGGCCGCATTCAGGCTTAAGCCTGAACCGACGCACCATTGCCCAAAATCCCAATCAGGTCGTCACATCATGGTGGAAAAGGCATGGATGTGCGAAAACTGCCACGTCCTGTCTGACGATATTGCTGTGTTCAGGAATCAGGGTTGCTTTATGACTCTGGCCAAAAGCGTTGATGAGCCAAGTCAGGAAAAGGCTAAAGAAACCAAGCCAGCCCTAGAACTGGCGCAGTCGTTGAAGGCTGCCCAAAACAATCTCAAGAAGCTTCTCATACTGAAGCAGCTGCAGCAAGAGAGTGCAGTTTTGGAATCCCTGCTGGTGAAGAAGTCTGCTTCGGGGTCGAGCTGCTTGACTTGCAACGAGGGTTCTGGCAATAGTCATGCCTTTTTCTTTCTCGATTGGATAGCTCAGAGCCGGGCGAAAAGGGGTGGTGTTTTAAAAGTACGTGCGCTCCCCAACAAACCCACATTTCCACCACATTTGCCCAGGCTTGGACACGGCGGACACGCTCCCGATGGTTGAAGCCGAGCAATCCGCTCCAGATTTTCGCCACGCACCCACACTCCAACTTGGCAAGTCCTGGTGCGATGAAATGCAAGCCTTGCCTGATGGCCCAGTCTATGTTCGGGAAGGTGACAAAGTGGCCATTATGGACAAAGCCATCAAAGCGAACCACCCAGTTGTGATTGAGAAAAAGGATGGGTCCATTGTTTATATCCCTGACCAGGCCCCTTGCCACGAGAAAGTGTGCGCATGTGTGTTCAGGCATTGCGTGCAGTGCGCGAACACGTACAGCATTCGCAGGACAAGTTGCAGGACAAGGGCGCGGCAGAGGACCAGCAGGAAGGCGAGCGACTCAAGAGCAGCGGCGGCGCAGGCAATGCAGAGAACAACCCGAAGCCCAAGCCAGCCGCCATGGCTGAGGAACCCTGCATCAGCCCTGCCCAGCAAAATGAACTCGCGCCGCCGCCTACGAGAGGCCGGCCCAAAAAGGCAAACAAACCAGAGGCAAAGGCAAAAGCGCGTGCAAAAGCCAAGGCGAAAGCTAAGGCAAAGGCAGCGCGCAAACCACAGGCAAAAGCAAAAGCAAAGGCGAAGGCCAAGGCAAAGGGAGGCAAGGCAAAGGCCCGAAAGTCCACTACCCCCGAAGAGGACACTTCAGGCATCAACGAGGAGGAGCAACGCGAAGATGCAAGCGCACCAGCAGCTTCCAAGAAATGCAAGTTGAACGCGAACACGAACAACGCTCAGGACAGCGCAGGACCAACCGCAGAGCCCGCAAGTTCCAGCGACAGCCCCAGCAGGTCTGAGCAGCCACGGCCCAAGAGGAAGGCCCAGCCAGCCAAAGAGGAGGCAACGACACTGGACAAGAAGGAGAGCCCAAAAAAGAAGAAAGAGAACAAGAAGGAGACAAGCAGCAAAACAAGGTCAGCAGAGTACAAGGCGCGGCAATCGCGCAAGTCATGCGCGTATGTAGCAGCCAAAAAAAAGGCGCTTAAGGAAGGCAAAACAGCTGAGGAGGCAGCAGCAGCAGGGAAGCAGGTGAACAGGACGCACTAGTGCTGCTTTAACTTACCTACAAAGTGCGTGTCTCCATCATCTCGCCCGCCTCATCCTGAGGCATATGCTGCAGCGGACTGACTTGCCGATTTATCTCTATCTTCACAAGTTCAGTGAGTTTGCTCCACAAAAAGGGCATTCCGATATGTGACCAATGAATGTTTCATACACGCAAGCTTTTCAGTGATGGGTTGCACAGCAGGCTGAGAGCCAGAGGCCTCAGCCTACCTGTGATTCAAGGGTTTCGAGTGCTTTCACGCACACTTGGGGCGGGGATTAGACGAGGTGAAAACTGCAGCGCGCAAGCAAACATGCCAGGATCGAAAGGACGTTTTTTTCGGGGTTGGCGACGGCAAGCGTCAAGCGCACATACAGTTCCTTTTCTGTCGGGTTGCCGCGTCTTCTGAAAATCTTGCAATGACAAAGCCCGTGCCCGTGCCAGGTTGGCATGCCAGTGGATGGATGGCAAATCCGAGCAGCCATCAGAGGCACGCCGGTTCCTGACATGCGTGGCC